GACTATAATATAATGGACAGATAGTCTTGCTTCTTCTCTATCCATCCGCGAAAGGCCGAAATCGATCACCATTTGCATTCAAAAGATATAAAGATTTTTCTGAAACCCATCCACTAAGTCTCTTAAAAATGTAAGTATTGCACCCATGTTGTCTTGTAAAAGTTTTTAGTAGCTTTCGTCGTCATCTCATGATTTATTAACTTTCGAAATGTTTCTTTTTCTTAAGAAAGCGTGTTTGATGAGCATTCATTGGATTTAGATGAGTGATGTGAGTACGAGTGTGAGCATAGACGATGTTGTTTTCCAATCACCGTTCCATCCACATCTATTGAGAGAGGCACTGCACCTTACATCGCATCGAGCTAGCCTGATTCAATATGGAAGCCTATGTACGTGATAGAAACATAAAGTTTACTGCAACTGAAGCAGTCATTTACATCAGTTACGCCAAACAATATGAGACAATATCTAAGAAGGCTGATATCTATGTTGAGCAGATGGAAGAAGATCGAAATGATTATGAGAATGATGATTATAGTACCTATCATATGATTTTCGATAACATTTTTCAATAGAAAAAACATTTCAATGGTTAATAAATCATGTGACGAAGACGAAGAACACTAAAAACTTTTACTAGGCAATATATGTTATAGACACTTAAATTTTTAAAAGACTTAGTGGCTGGCTTTCAGAAAAATCTTTATATCTTTTGAATGCAAATGGTGATCGATTTCGGCCTTTCGCGGATGGATAGAGAAGAAGCCAGACTATCTGTCCATTATATTATAGTCGAGAAAGTATTTCGTTTTCAAAACGAATTAAGCTCATCTTCAAAATTCACGACATATCCATGAAAAAGATAGACAGGGATTTTTTTTATAATTTTTGTAAAAAGCTAGAGCAATATCGACTCTCGATAATTCGCAAAAAATTCAAGTTATCTCTCTCTTTCTGTTTTCAGATTATTCGAAAAATGCCCACGGCCACTTACCTCTGAAATGGATAATAATCTAAGTTGATAGAAACTCTTGGTGTGATATCGAAGATATTTGACTGCGTTACAATGTTCATAGTTTCTAGTCACAAATTAGTTTGATTTCTTATCGTTATTATGAAGGAAGAAACTTCTAAATCAATCTCTATACAAGCCATATCGCTCATAGTAACCATCAGAGGTACCAGCAGGTCCACTTTTTGTAAAAGTTATTAGCTATGAGCTTCTTCAGCTTGATTATCTTCTAGTCTGTTTAATATTCGAAAAAAAATGAATATTCAATAAAAAAAATTACCTTAACTGTATCATAACCATCAATAATTAATGCAATAACTAAACTTGACACGACATAGATAAATAGACATATAAATGAATATAAATATATTTCTGAAAACAACCAGACATAAACCGATTCGGTTTCTAAATTAGCATATGTTGTATACATATCATCACCATTAATTAATGCAAATAATGTTTCAAATGTTGTTGATATTGTTCGAAATTTTGTATGATAAGGACCTAGTACAATCCATCCACAAAACATAAATCCACAATAAATAATAAGAGCACATAAAAGAAAACGAAGAATTAATGGTAATGTTTTTTGAACCGTTACAAATAAAAGCTAAAATAATCAAATTAATATAAAATAATTACATGTATTTTACTTACATTGTATTTAGGAAAAAAAGATAAATAACGTAGAATACCAACCCAAGAAAATAGACTACTTAAACCAAGTAATAAACCAGCTGCATTATACATATCCATCGCCTAATAATGAAACAATAAAAAAAAGTCTTGTGAGAGATTATTTCATTTGATAATAAGAGTGTTCAGACGAGAAGGAAATCAAAAATCATTCAAGTAAAAAACTACTCAAGTTTTCTATATATTCATCGTCATTGTGCGTCTTCTTTAAACTAGATCAGTTTCATTTTAGGATATCACTATAATCGAATTTAAACTTATACTAATAACAAAAATATTGATTTTGATATTTATCTCAGGATATCGATTGGAAAATTCATATACGCACACCCAAAATGTGACTTTGCTAATTTACGTATTGTTGATCCAACAGATCTAGTAACCATTACATTTAGACAAATATGTAAATAATATGTACTTTTAATGATAGATGTGTTACAAAATCTTGCCCACACAAAGCGAAAGATGTTAAATGTCGCTTAAAACAAGTGCGCATGTGAAAACACCTTATTACGGTTTTAGGCAACAGCGCATAGTTTATTTTAATTTAGGTTATAGGTATTGGTTTTCGTAAGATTATATCATTTTGAAAGATACTATAATCAGTTTGATGATAGCAAAATGCTTGTGAATAATACTAATAATGCATGTATATTGGTGCTAGAGCAATTTAAAATTCTCCCCAGTAGAAGAAATTCAAATTTTAATTTCTCTTGTAACATGTACATTATTAAATATTCGTTTTTTCGAGATAAATTTCTGATATAACTTTATCTATCAGTCAAAATTTAAGATTTTCTATTAATTATAAACTTATAACAATCGACAGATCTTTTTCAAAATTTGATAACTTATAATAAAGAGTATCTGCGGCATATTTTTATTGAAGCAATATTTGTACTGAACTCATTTTAAAGAGTCAAAAAGTATAAAATCTTTGTTCAAGTATATCATATGATACTATTTGTTTAAGTATCAAATATGTCTCTGTTTCTTTTATAAGCCATGCAACAACAGTCATTACATCATCACTCTCACCTTTAGCGGAAATTCACTTAGAGAAAACAAATATAATAACACATACAGAAAAATCGTTCAAATTTTATTCTTTGAAAATCCATTTTCTTATGGGTGCTTTCAAAGGAATATCAAAATTAAAGCCAATATTGATTTTCTGCATAACTAGTACGAAGAAGTCATTTATCAGAAATATTTTTTTAATCTGATTCCTCCATTCTTTGTCAGCTGCAGGGATGGGCGAGTCCGAGTCATGACTCGGACTCTAGTCACTTTTTTTGATTGACTCTGACTTGACTCGGACTCGAAAATTGGATAGCATTGACTCGACTGTTTGACTCGAGTCATTTACTCAAAAAAGTTTTCATCTGCTGTTTTAGAAAAAGTATTCTTAATTTATAAGATCAAATTCTCACTTATTTAGAAACCTCGACCTAATAAAGTACATTGTATATGAAT